CACCACGTTGGTCATAGTAGGAAAACATTCCAAATGAAATCAGAAGCTCACAGTATCACGCCATGCACTTAACTCAGAAACTAGGCGACGAAACTATCCTTTCAGTCTACAGATGGAGCAAAAATGCAAAGGCCACCGTCTGGCAGAATCTATAAAAATGTTTCTACGGCTCACAACAGTGACCGTGCCTAGCGTCCATTTTGACCAGAAGTAGTGAGGGTTTATTAACGGTCACCCCAGTGGTGCCCTCGTGCTGGAAAAGGGGCCAGGGACGTAACGCCCACCAGCAAGGTGTCGCCACTGTACGACCTGACTGCCTTCGTTTGCAATTGTGTTCCCCACAACCATGCAGTTCTTTGGCACGTGCTCACATGCGTGTGTTAATGGTGTACACAAGTTATCATGTTTCTCTCATATACCATTAGCCTTATGTTCCAGCATACATTTACAAATTAAATACTATTGTCATGCATATATGCACACAAACACTTAAACATACTAGTAATAGTTGGGACACTAATTAATTAATAATAATTAACACTTAGCAAGCACTCACACATCAAATTAGAGAGGGAAAGAGAGGTACATGTACATATAAGAAAAAAAAAACTGAAAGAGATAAATAAGAGGAGGAGGAGAGAGAGAAATCACTAAATTACTAATTCCTCGGGGAAGAAAATGTTTATTAATGCTTCTGTACAGTAATCCACAAGTATTTGGTGTAGGACATCAAAGGGTCACTGTTTTTATCGTAAGGCCCCGAACAGATGCCGTCTCGTACAGAAAATGTAAAAGACGAGTCCGAACGTCGCTGATTCGTTGAATGTACTCTGACTTTCTTCTATCCTTAAACTCTTGTGTGTCTGGCTCCTAGTGGATCCAGAAAATAAACTTATTAATCGTATCTTTAAACATTCAACGGAATCAAAAAAAAAAAAAAAAAAAAAGTAAATACTCTATAATTTTATCTTGCTTGTTTCTATTGAATTTTTAGGCCTTTTCATGTACACACTTCATTAATTATTTCTCTCTGTTCCGGAGCCCAATTTTATGAAAGTCTTAAAGAGATTTATCTTTAGTAGATCCATTGCACCCGAACAAGCATATCATTATCATAAAAGCCGACTAATTAGGAGTTTGCTAAAATCGGATATATTGGGACGAAATGCGCAGATATCGCAGCCTAACTTTAAACCACAATACAATGTGCCAACCACTCTTGTAAGGACGAACGGTGAAAAATTATATTGTTGTTTCAACACGTCACTTGGATATTTTAAAAAATCCTGCTGGCGAGATACGCTGTCAGATTTTTGCTGACAAAAATATCACGCTGGCTTGAAGTTGCCAGTAATTGTGTAGAAGAGTGGGAAATAGGCGCCGTTGTTTACTGATCTCTCATCGTTCCTTGTTCACGACCACACTTGTATTTGTTGACAAGTATTTAACTAGCAGTGTGAAAATGTTGTGTTACTGTAATCAATTGTTGTTTTAATCCATTTAACATCATTTTTTTCAAGACACGAAAGGTGAGATTCTCAGGGGGGAAAAAATTGCGTGACAACTGACAAGGAAAACCGTAAAAAGCTAATTATTAGTAATTTCTAGATCACAGAAAAGCAGACGACAGAAAGTGAAAGAAGTTTAGACTGTACTGATGTACTGACATAATATGATTGATAAAAGAGACTAGATAAGTAGAGAAGGAAAACGGAATGGATTTACTGAGTATTAATACTAATAATGACGCTGCTGAAAAGGACAACAATAATTAGTTAATTTATAATATTACGGTAAGTTTTGGTTTTCGTCCTGCCTGCTAATGTAGTGTATAATAATAATACACTATTTTAAAAATACATTTTTCCATGCATAGAATAGAATTCTAAGAAATGTTCTATAAATTTTAAGAATATTTTTGTTATACATTTCACATTATTTCATATATATTTTATAACTATTTGCCGTTCAGCACAGTAATAATTAAATAATGTGCTGAATGATTTTTTAGAAAATAAATATTATATTAGTATTAGAATAATAATGAATAATGTGCTTGAAATAATTTCAGATGAATAAACAAATACTTAGCCATCTTCCGAATAACGGTCCCAAATTATTGAGGCCGAAAATATACCCTAACAGGGCCTCAGTCACATGTAAATTGCGGACTTCCGCCACGGCCGAGAGTATCTCCCACGCCTAAACTAGATGGCTGGGACTCGCGAGAAAATAAAATGAAGAAAGCTGCAGGAGATGCAGTAGCTGTTTCTCATGAGTCCCAGCCATCTAGTTTAGCCCCAATTCACGCCACGCGTAGCGGCGTGGGAGATACTAGGCCGTAGTGATAGTCGCAGGAAGTGCACAATTTAAGTTGCCGGAAGTGCTCAGTTTACATCTGACTGAGGCCCTGTTAGGGTATATTTTCGGCCTCGATATTTTCGGACCGTTATTTGGAGGATAGCCAAATACTTCAAAAGATATCCTAGATATATATATATATATATATATATATATATATATATATATATATATATATATATATATATATATATATATATATATGTTCAAAGGGGGTATCCTAGCGCCCTTACAAAATGATTGGATAGGCGAAAGGTGGAGGAAATGCACTTAGTCGCTCTAAATTTGAGGGGGGGGGGGAGGGGGTGCATTTAAGGACAAGCACTCCAGCTAGTTATTTGCCTAGACATTTGCCCTAGGCTTCACACCTCAATGTTTTTCGGCACTCTTCTGAATATCGGTCCCATATTATTCGCTGTGGAAAAACATCCCTTTGAGAGCCTCGAGAGGTTATGTTGTAAAAACATTTAGGTCATCATCAGTTCACTTCTGCCGTTATTGGTAGATGGATACCAATGTTTAGACGTTAAGTTTATTGCTGTGGGGAGGAATAATTTTTGATCCATTGAAGCGTAGTGGGGAGGAATAGATTACTTGAGAGTTTGGTTCACATGAAATTACATAATAATGCAAAGCATAGATCATAGTGTTCCTATTCCATTTTTTGCTCTCTCAGAGGCCATCTTTGAGCTCTGTCAGAAACCAGCTTTGCTCTCTCAGAGACCGGCTTTGTTGTTTCACAGACCAGCTTTGCTCTTGTCTGTAAACATTTTACATTTTTATGACTGGGAGTGAAGCAGGCAAAGGGATATAAATCTCAGTGAAATGGTACTCATGTTGGGAACTGCAGGAGATGGCAAAGATAGTTGTCTATGTTTGATTTAGTTTGTCCTTCATGAGAGGGACAAGGGCTGAAGAAAAGGAAATGAGTATTGAGAGATTGTTAGACCCATATTTTCTCCCTGTGTGGGTACAGAGATAGACCCAAAAAGAATAGACCCGCTGCCTCTTAACAAGCATGTTCTAAAAGGTGATCATTTGAGAACTTGCTGAAATCGGATGTATTGCCGAAAGGGATATATCACAGCCTAACAGCAAATCACAACATAATGTGCAAACCACCCTTCTAAGGGAGAACAAAGAAGAAGAAAACAAATTGATGAGTATTAATTGGCAAATAGATGCAGAGGGAGGAAGTTGAGAAAGGGAAACACACTAGACAACTTAAAAATCGGAAGCTATAGTCGCCATATCAAGGTTCAAGACTGTTGCCTATTAATAATGATAGTGCCTAGTTACAGGAATAAATGTTACTTTAGAGCATAATCATCACTTTGACTAGAACAGCTCTCCGATGGGCAGGAGATGGAAAAAAGACGCGGCTTTGAATGTCTAATGTGTCAACATTGACACAAAGTAAGATTTGTACAGAATGCATAATCAACTAGAGAGCCCTAAAAAGCCCTATCTATCATACACCTAAGCCAACAAACTAGGGAAAATAGTGCTATGGGTTTTTTAGAAATTCTATATTAACAAGCATAGGTTAGATAACAAATTGTAAAATGCTGTGTGTTATTTACAATGAACATATTTTTATAGACCAGTAAACACTTGCTGGCTTAATGTACTCAGCATAATGCAGGCCACCTTTACTTTTCAAAACATTTCCTTGTATCTATCTGTGTGGATTCTATGGTGCCGTTGTGGGAAAAACAAGAAAAGGCTCACTGCCTCCCCAACAAGCATGTCATAGTAGTAGACAAATTGGGGACTTCCTTTGAAGTTGGAAAGCATCTGCCCGAGCGCCAAGGAACAGCCAACTGCACACAGATAAGCCAGTAAAAGGGATGTACATGCAAAACTCAGGCTTTGGCACAAAGCCAAAGTCCAACAGGAATTTCAGTTGATTCCTAGCTGAATTGAACTGAGTCCTCCCTCTGTGTTGGTAGCCTAGTCCAGATTTTGGGGAACACAGTAATAGACCCACTGCCCTCTATCAATCATCATCATCACTTCTCGTTATGCCTAGTTGCACATGAGGCTTCAGAGAGGACTTTCCTGTCCTGTGCAATCTTCAGTGCAGTTTTCCATGTCAAAGATGCCGCACTCAGGTCACTTTCCATCGTTCGTCTCAATGTTTTTGGGCGCCCCTGTTTTCTCTTTCCCTCTGGTGTCCATGTGAGAGCTGTCTTGGCAGGTATATCGGAAGTCATTCTCATAACGTGGCCAAGCCATTTCCATCTTCTCTTGGTAATCATACTGTCTAAAGTTTCTTGGTTTGTAGCTTAAAGTAGTTTAGTGTTTGATCAAGCTTGCGATAAAAGTTTACTGAAATTGGATGTGTTGAGCTGAAATGCACATATATCACAGCCTAGCTGTAAATGACCACACCCTTTTAAGGACAAATGCAGTAAAAGAACTGAGTTCAACTGGCTAGAAGGTGAGAATATAAACTAAACATGAGTAAAAGAAAGCAGAATTAGTTAGTTAATTTGAATCATCTTTGGTTTATTTCACTTTCAGGAGTAGAAGCACCACCGGATTGATTGTAACAATTTTGCTGAGTTGTGACCAGTTTAACCGGCAAACTGACGGACCAAGACAACGAAACCTCCTCATCTCTCGATAGTTCGAGGATGTCAGTGTGCAGAGTTTCTACCCCATCCCCTCCAGATATATTCTGCCCAGCTGCAGATAACTGGTGTTACACCCAGGTGAGTTGTCAGTCGTGTAGATATCTTGTTCTCACAAGGTTGATTACACCCAGGTGAGTTGTCAGTCATGTAGATATCTTGTTCTCACAAGGTTGGTTCATTCATCAGTGGTATGTTTTGTCTGTGTGTTACTGGGCACTAGCGAGTGGCCAAATGGGTAAGTACGCTGGACTCTCATATGGGAGACACAGGTTTGAATCCTCAGTAAGGGCATGGACTTTTATCTGTAGAAGCCAAAAATAAAATCCTTGCCTGCACAATCTGTGGCGAAAGCACTAGCTATGCAGCTCTAAATCCTCGGGCTCAAAGAACCCCCTTACCTACACAGCAAAAGCGGGTAAATACAAACAGTGTTACTGGGACCCATAAAGGAAGCAAAGAAAAGTTTCACTGCAACCTTTCCTGCATGTCAGGTGAACAAGGAGGATTGAAAAGAGATTGGATATTTTATCCTGTTGGTAAATTTAACTGCACAGTCCCAGCCTACAAAGGGCTTGTGTGTTGCTTGAGGGCCTTTTACTATGTTTTTTGTCTGTTTTTCCCATCAGCGATCAACATTTGCTTACGTCTGTCTGTTCTAGCATGGTTCTTTGACAGGATGGACTCTGTGTGGGTTTCAGAGCTCCATTTTGGACAACAACAGACCCACTATCCCCTTCTCCTCCCCCAACAAGCATGTCATAGGATGCGATTAATGAAGGGTGTTTCCTTCAAAGTCGCTGTGCATCTGCCTCAAAGAAAAGGAACCAACAGTATGCTTACAAAGAAGCCAGACCTGTGAAACGGACGTGCATGCAAAAGTTCTGGATCAAGATCCAAGTCCTGGAGTAGACGAAGAATAACTAGAACTTTATCCTGGGGTTTACAGCCAGTTGGTGCTGAGAAGAAGAAGAGGAAGATTCAAGATGTTTGTTTTAGAACATTACTGATAAAACCATCCTATTTTTCTGTTGTTGCAGGTGAAAGTGATCAAGTTCTCTTACATATGGACAGTAAACAACTTTAGTTTTTGTCGGGAGGAGATGGGTGAAGTGTTGAAGAGTTCCACTTTCTCTGCTGGGGCTAATGACAAGCTGAAGTGGTGAGTGGGTTGTTGATGTGATTATGATTGGGTTATTGATGTGGTGAGTGTGTTATTAATGTGGTGAACGGGTTATTGAAGTGTTGGCTGGGTTGTTGAAGTGCTGACTGGGTTGTTGAAGTGTTGACTAGGTTGTTGAAGTGTAGACTGGGTTGATGAAGTATAGACTGGGTTGTTGAAGTGTTGACTGAGTTGTTGATGTGGTAAGTGGGTTGTTGATGTGGTAAGTGGGTTGTTGATGTAGGGGGAGTGTTGTTGAAGTGATGAGTGGGTTGTTGATATAGTGAGTGGGTTATTGAGGTGGTGAGTTGGTTGTTAGTGATAAATGGGTTGTTGGTGAAGAAGATTTTATTATACATACATTTAGATTCCCCCCCCCCCCCCCCCCCCCCCGCTCCAGTTTTTCAGAGTCTGTGGACTGGGCTGAGATTCTCTTATATGGTATATTGTAGAAATCTAGAGTACAGAGATATCCAAGTGCAATGACTGATTGATATTTAAGCAAACAGAAACTATAAAAACTGAGTTTCCCCATGAATAACTTACTAGATATCCCTGTGACCTAATTTGCAGGTGTCTGAGGGTGAACCCTAAAGGCCTGGATGAGGAGAGCAAAGACTATCTCTCTCTGTACCTCCTGCTGGTGTCTTGTAACAAAAGTGAGGTTCGAGCCAAGTTCAAGTTCTCAATACTCAATGCAAAACGTGAGGAGACCAAAGCAATGGGTGAGTTGTGGGGAAACAAATGATTGAGTTGACTGAATGGATGAATTTCTGTTTAGCCCCTTACACCTCTAAACAGTTACTTCTAGTGTTCCCCGTGTGGTTGTAAGAGTCGACTAATTGGGAGCTTCCTTCGAAATTGGAGTGCATCTGCCTGAGAGGCAAGGAATCAACAGTCTGCACATAAATGTGTCAGATCTGTCAAATGAATGCACACACAACACCTAGGTTCTTCTTCGCGCTCACCAGCTGTAAACTCTGGCAGAAGGTTCTGGTTTCTCGTCCACTACTGAACTGCAGTCCTGCTCCAGAACCTGAGTGTTGCGTGTGCATCAGTTTTAAAGATCTCATTCTCTTGAATAAAGACTGTTGGTTCCTTGCCTCTCCGGCAGATGCACTCCAACTTCAAAGGAAGCTCCCCAATTAGTCGACTCTTACGACATGATTTTGGGGAGGCAGTGTGTCTATTCTTGTCTTCCCCACAATGGGGCCCCGGAACCCACACGGGGGACCTAGGTTCTGAAACAGGACTGCAGTCCAGAAGTGGACAAACAACCAGAACTTTCCACCGGAGTTTACAACCAGTGAACGCGAAGAAGAAGAAGAATTCTAGTGTCTGTTCTGGCATCAAATTCCGAAGGACCGAAAAATCCAGAGTTCATGTTTAAAAAAATGTGTGTTAACCTTAGACTAATAAAAATACATCTCATGAATTTTTTCTTGTTACCTGAGCATTCTTTCTAGACAAGTTCATGTTAGGGTACTGTACCTTGAATGTGTTTTTCTTCTATACCTATAGCGGTTTTATCTTGTGGACTGCACTAAATATGGCGGGCAGTCAAGTAAGTTCAAGCTGGCTTGTGCTTTATGCATTATTGCATGTGCGCATGCTGGCTTGTCATGATTGACTGCTTTCATCAACAAAATTAGCAGCAATTCTGATGGGAAACTGCTAATGTTAGCACATGGTGTGTCTGCCTTATGCATTTACTTTGCGTGTGCGAACTTCTTGATTTTGCTGGGACTGATCTGTTTTTCACTCATATTCAAATGATACAAAGTTATGGGCATTTTGTGTGATTTCTCACTAGCATAGGAATGGAGTAATTATGAGGTGGCCCAATTGCCATGAAGTTGTAACTGCAATTGATGACCAGTATTTACTGGAGGTCTCAGTGGTTCATTTAGCTTGTGCTGTGGTGTTGTGGATGCTAGGGCTATGTTTGTACTGCCTGTGTGTGTTGATCTTGGCAAGTAGGGTGAAACCAGGCCATATGGGATACGACTCACTGCAATCGATCCTCTTGACTTTAAGCTTTATCCCTGCTGCCCGTATAGTATTCTTTTAAAGCTTTGGGGAAGATACTAGGAGGGTTCAGGCAGGTTCGGTGCGAAGACAATGGCTTGAATCATTAAAGAAGTCCACTGTGTGTGGAGTCACCTTTACTTTTGTTCCGGGATACACAGGCGTCTTTGGAAATGAAAGAGCTGATAGGTTGGCTAGATCCGCTATCACTGCCAACGGTCAGCCTATGGATCATGCTGGTGTTATTAATGCCCTCAGAGAAATGGGAAGGATAGAGGACTTTGGGGGCAGTGAATCCACATCACTCGCCAGAATGGCAGACTTGGGAATTAAGATCGGCAAAGCAAAAAATTAGACGCACACCAGACACACCGGAAGACTTGTTAAATAGAACTGGTACTATTAGCCATCAGACTTTGGGGTTCATACTGAGGGGAGAATCTGAGCATCTATATACATGTCTGCAATGATGATAACCCAACTAACTAACTAGGACAAAGAAATGCAGCCTGTCAACTGACTGTTATTGTAGGGCAGCTCCGGCGCTTGCCTAATCTTGGTTGGTAGCTTGTCTAGGAGGTGAGGATGGAGGTTTATGGGTATGTCCCAGTCAGTTCTTAGCTCGACACTGGTCTAGGAGGGGAGCCCCACCAGCAGACAGACAGGCAGAGTACTGCTCCGACAGCTTCAACAACATGCTTTATCCCAAACACATTGGTGTGTGACCTTATCGTTGAAGTTAACAAAGCAGGCTGAGAGAGAGGGAGCTTTTTATTCTTTGTCGCGTGCGGATGTGCACTAAAACGCACCAGTACTGAGTGAGCAAATAGGACGTCAAAACAATACGTAACGTCGTGAAGGTATTGTTGTCAAAGGCAGTTGATGTTTACAGTCCGAAGTAGATGGACGTGTGGATCCTTGAGGACGCTTTACCCCGGGATTCCATGGAAGCAGACGTTGTATAGAGCTGGATCCTTGAGGACGTTTTACCCCGGGACTCCACTATAAACCTCAGCAGAAAGCTTGTATATTGTCACAGTTGGGCAGAAAGCCAGTATACTTACATTACCTTATTCAGACTGCAGAAGAGAAGATAGAGATGACTGTCTGGATCTCAAGGTCGGACTGCTACCCGTCGTGAGAATTTATCAGTCCATGGATGTATGAGCGGGCTTGTGTTGGTGTGTTTGGATGAGTCTGGATTCTTAATTGCATATTTTCTCCTTTTGTTGATCATTGTATATATCAGTACGCCCGTTGGAACCTTTAAAGGAAGTTCTCGTTCCGCTACGTTTGGAAGCTTCAACATTCATCATGTTGTGTTACACTTGGCCAGTGGCATATTAAGTTGTTGATGCCATTTGTTACATTGCGACACCCTTATTCACCTTTGGTACGTCACACGTCACCAGGCAGCCTTTACAGCACGTCACACTGTACGCCAAGCTTTCGCTCGTCACATTCTTCTTGTGTTTGCTTTATGATTTACACTCCAAGATAAGTGGGAAAACAAGGATGTTCCTAGGTGAATACTAGCCCCTTTGTTCCTGGGGGGAAAGAGAAAAAAGCGTTGTGGATGTTTTATCTGTGTTAATGTCAATGTCATTAAGAAATCTGTTGCTCGCTGCATTCTTTAATTTGCCACTTTAGTGTGTTCATCAGAACACCAGAGTGCTAAATCATCTGCATACAGGGCAGCCTTCACTTTTGTAGGGAGGTCTTTCACCATGTATATAAACAGGAGAGTTGGAGATATAACTCCTCCCTGTGGTACTCATTGACGAGGCAACACTTTTCTGCTCTGCAGGCCATCAAGAGTGACTCTGGTTCAATTTTGCAATGAAGACAGAGCTCATACTGCATGGTCAATACATGGTCTCTACAATACTGGCCATACTGTGTGCTGTGGAGGGGAAGGGAATTGGGACAAAGGAGAAAAGTTTGCAGAAAGGTGAAGAACTAAGCGACTGAGAAAAAGCAAACCAAATACATGTGATGGTAACAATGATCCTACAGTTTCCATGGACTTATTGTGAGGGATTCTGAACATGAGCAGGTCTTGTTGGTCACGCTGGCCATGGGTTGTGATTCCCCTGGCTCCATACAGCACAGCAGAACACAGTCCTCTTGGAAAGACAGAATGTTGCCAGTGATGTCTTTAATAGGAAAAAAAGTGGTAAAGGACAATGTCCTCGTCTTCAGGCGTATTGGGCATATAGGGCTAGAACCTATATTTTATAGACCAATCAGCACTTGGTGGGTGATGTGATCAGCATTACGCTGGCCACCTTTACTTCCCAGGGCTGCATCTGGTACCCACTCAAGACTGGGTCGACTTGGGAGCCAAGGTCATTTTTTTTTAAAGAAAGCTCGGTTCCATCAGGACCCAAACCCTTGTCTGCAGGCGAACGTCTAGCCACTACACCACAGCGACTGATGTCTCTGATGTCTGTACTTTAATCATCCCACCGGCAGACAGACTCACTTTATGTGTTTGGTGACTGCAGTAGCTGCTTCACCACCCTATTTCTGTGAATTATATCAGAAATGAGAATACTAAATTTCGTCAAGTCAAGAAAAGTAGTTAACCACTCAAATGCCATGATGTAGTCTGTGTGAAATCCTAGCATTATTTGGACACTGAAATGCTGAAACAAAATCTTTTATATTGTGCTAAAAAGAGCTATCATTTCTGCCTGTATGTACTACGTTTTAGAACAGTGTGGAATGGGGGAGTCGTGAGACTGGATGCCGCCTGGCTAATGCCTCAGACTGTGCATATTCCCCCCCCCCCCCCCCCCCAACCCCCAGCTGCCCCACCCAAACAAAAAAAAAACCATAAATATACCAAGAATTTGAACGTTAATCTCCAAATTAAATTCCGTAATTTGTGACGTCGGTCAGGGTTGTTTCCACTGTGAGTAGACACAGCTCTGTAAAAAAAAACATGGCCCGCTTGTATCAAAGCAGTTGCTATATTTGTTTTTTTATTTTTGTTGTTTTGTTTTACAGAAAGCCAGAGAGCATACAGATTTGTGCAAGGGAAAGATTGGGGCTTCAAGAAATTCATTCGAAGAGACTTTCTCATGGATGAGGCAAACGGCCTCTTACCAGACGACAAGCTGACTATATTTTGTGAGGTAATGGATGAACTCTGCAAATATCTTTTATGATGACTATGAAAACTTCAGAATTTGTTCTTTGTCACATCTTCCACAATCTTTAGTGCTTTTAATGACAGAAACATCTTTTACTGCATTCATTGTTAAAATTGCTGTTGGCACATGGTGATGAGGTTTACAGCCAGGCTGTGATTTTATTGAGAGCCAACATATTTATTTTCAGCAAACATTTTATTTTTTAGTTACCTTCTGCAGCATGTGTGTTAAGGGGCAGTGGGTCTGTTCTCCCCCTCCCCTAACTAAAATGAGACAGTTGAGCCCACACATGGAACAGAGAAATCAGTGACCATCATACTCAAGCAAGTCTGGCAGGGTAGAAACGCACTGCTCACACATTGGTTTGTTATGGCCTTCGGGTCTAGCCACTCCGATGAAAGAGTCTTCAAGTCTGTTGAGATTTTAATTATCTGTCTGTTGGTTTTCTCTCTCTCTCTCTTTAGGCGTAATTGTCCAGCGTAATTGTATCTAAGTAAATTTTCCATAACACATTTATTTCCCTAACATTTTACAGAGAATATATACAGCTTTAAATCTGTCCCTAGGCAAATGCTTGCTCCAGATCTCTTTCCGTTTTTATTCCCCACACTTCCTCTAATAATTCAAATACTGTCAGTTTTTCAGCACATAACTAGCAGATCGTGGCTATAATCTGTCTTATATAATCTGTCTTATCTAATCTGTCTTATATAATCTGTCTTACACACAAGTGGCAAAGCGAAGGACTCTTTCCCCACACAATTAGGCTTATTGGACATATAGTGCTAGGCCTGTTTTATAGATCAGTCGGCACTGGGTGGGTGATATAGTCAACATGACGCCTTTACTTCCCACTACTGTACCTGGTACTTATTTTAGGCTGGGTCGACCTGGGAGCCAAGGTCATTTTGGAAAAAAATAATTTGTATTAGAATCCAGGACCTTGGAGCCCGAGATGAGCATGTAGCCCAAACCATGAGGGCTGTCACACACATACTGTGAGAACCACATTGTGTTTGCTTTACTGAGATGTACCGAGTCTTGTTAAAAATGTCGGTACAAGACTTTTGTGCCAGATGTTTCCACATTGTTAAATTTCAAGGCTTATCAACATTAAAACTTCCATTTGAATTTAATCTCGGTTAAACTTTTGGAAACACCATCCTCGTGATTTTTAGTAGATGTCAGATCAAACTACTTTTAGTTGCAGAAAAGATACTTAGACAGGGAACATGGCACAATACATCATAAGCTAGTATCTGGCATTTGTAAATTCTCAGTATTTCATAAACTGAGTCTGTCCTATTATGAAGTTACTTGTAAGTAAAGTAAAGAATCCTTTTCCACGCCTTTAGGCATATAGGGCTAGACCAATATTTTATAGACCAACGGCACAAGATGGGTGATGTGATCAGCATCGTGCCGGCCGCCTCTACTTCCCGGGACCGGAAGTTACTTGTACTTTCTTTTTAAATGTTTGGAATGTATTTTATATATATATATATATATATATATATATATATATATATATATATATATAAATAATATATATATATATATATATATATATAGAAACAAAGGTTGTTACTTACTACATATATGTAACATTTTGTATGGCAGTTTAGGACAGGGAGATCCTGTGCCCTAGTATTTAGGGCCTCATAGACAGTGCGGTCACCATGAACTAGGCAGGTTGAGATGTTTAGTATTGTCCTGATGAAAACAAAATCATCTAATTAGGGTTAAACCTGGTTCTCTAGCAAGAGAGCCCAGCATTCCAGATGTAATATAAAACGAATTAATTATCAAGGAAGCTATGGGAGCCAAGTTCTGTATTTTCTCAGGCATAAGATATGTTTTCCCACGTTTAACATTGGGGGAATAGCTTATGAACGGAATATTTACTTCTCAGTTTTGTTGCTTAAGAAAAAATAGGTATTGTCATATTCAAGAAAAACTGGTTAGTTTGTGTGTTTGCTTGCCTAGAGAGTGGCCTTGGTTTAGTCTCCTAGTAATAACAGGATTTTCTTGAAATTATGTAATTTTGGGGTAGATCCAAAATCTTGTTCATTTAGTTCTAGACTAGACCATTTTGAGGAAATAGTCTGTGAAGGAAAACTGTTCACTGCCTCCTCACGATGCCACATCTGTGAAGGCCTTTAGCACTGTCTGCAAGGTTTGCCTGCCTGCATGGTTTACCTGTCTGCAAGGTTTGCCTGCCTGCAAGGTTTGCCTGCCTGCAAGGTTTATCTGTGTGCAAGTTTACCTGTCTGCAAGGTTTGCCTGCCTGCATGGTTTATCTGTCTGCAAGGATTGCCTGCCTGGGAATTGATGAGACAGGCTACCTTCCACTGCCTCCTCATGATGCCACGTCTCTGAAGATCTTTAGCACTGTCTGCAAGGTTTATCTGTCTGCAGGGTTTACCTGTCACAAGGTTTACCTGCCTGGGAAGTAATGAGAGAGGGAAACTGTCATGTCTGTGAAAGCCTTCAGCGCTGTCTACAAAGTTTACCTTTACAATTTACAGGTGAGCGTAGTCGGAGACACTGTCAACGTTTCAGGACAGTCAAACTGCACGCCGGTCAAGGTACCAGAGAGTCACCTGAGTGATGATCTAGGCCAGTTGTTTGACCGCTCCTCTTTCAGTGATGTCACATTGTGTGTGGGTGGCAGAGAATTTCTGGCCCACAAGGCTGTTTTGGCAGGTTGGTCATCAGTTTGTTTTGTCCATGAGTGTGTTTGGTCTTTATGCTTATGAGGCAGTGTGGCTTGTGCACTTGAGGGAAAGAGCGATGTATGGCATTTTTACTTGTGTGGCAGAGTGACTTATGACTTGTCGATCAGGGACTTATGACTGTTGTGGATCAGTGACTTATGACTGTTGTCAATCAGTGACTTATGACTGTTGTGGATCATTGACTTATGACTGTTGTCAATCAGTGACTTATGACTGTTGTGGATCAGTGACTTATGACTGTTGTGGATCAGTGACTTATGACTGTTGTGGATCAGTGACTTATGACTGTTGTAGATCATTGACTTATGACTGTTGTAGATCATTGACTTATGACTGTTGTCAATCAGTGACTTATGGCTGTTGTAGATCATTGACTTATGGCTGTTGTAGATCATTGACTTATTGACTGTTGTGGATCATTGACTTATGACTGTTGTCAATCAGTGACTTATGACTGTTGTAGATCATTGACTTATGACTGTTGTCAATCAGTGATTTATGACTGTTGTAGATCATTGACATGACTGTTGTGGATCAGTGACTTATGGATGTTGTTCTTGAGGGGATGTGTAACTTATGGTCATCGTACTTGTGTGGCAAAATAGCTTCTGGCTGTTGTATAATGAGTGTTCATTGTAAACCTATTCGTGCCTCACTACCAGTAAATGCATGCATTAAACAGGATCTTGTCATAAGTGCTGACCAGTAAAATAAAAGAGTACCTGCTTACCATCCCATGATGCTTAGACTCTGTTTCTGACTGCTGACAAAATGGCTGGGTTGGTCCAAAATCCACGCAGAGAAGCTCAAATAGCCACTATTTAGTTTCTTTCGTTCAAAAGATTTTGACCAGTGGACATTTCATCAACGAATGCCAGCAGCACACAGGGACAAATGTGTGTTGAATACAACAGTGACAGACTGGGCACTGATGTTTTGGTATGTGATCTTCCATGGCCGGGACAAGCATATTGTTGCAACAGGAAAACCATGGCCACAATGGATGTAGGTCACGGTTGTCGAAACATACCTTCACTAGTGAAAGAATTTGATGTGTCAAAAAGAAGCAGTTCAGAAGGTTATTTATAAGAAACTGCAGTATTGTAAGGTGTGTTCAGTGGATACCAAAGATGTTGACCGACCATAACAAGCACAAGGAGGAGTGCAGTGAACACTTGGTTTGGTTGAGTGAGCAGGAGTAATACTTTTATGGTGGACGGCATTCACCGCCTAATTAAGCAGTCAAATGCTTCCCTATATGGCGACTTTTTGTGACCAACCCATGGTGCATAATTAATTCCAAATCAATGCTTTTTTTTTTCCCACACTTGTTGATGTTTCGTTCATGCTTTTGTAATGAGGCCATTGGGATGAGTTTCAGATAAAAGCTCCTTATACTTTAGCAGTAATTTATGACTTTGGGTCTGAATTGATCGTGGCTCTTGCAAGTGAGTGGCAGGGTGACATAAGAACTATTTTCAAAATTATGTCTGATTCTTTTCTCTCTCACTCACATATACACAGCGATAAAACAGTTTTGAGGTATACATTTATACAAGTTTATTTAGAAAGATCATTCTTAAAAATAAAGTGTAAACAAAATTAACTTTAAAGTCATGAATTTCGTACAAAATATTTTCAACGCAAATAATATAAATTTGTATGTAAAATGGAACTCAAGAAAGAATTGAAAACTAAACCTAGGACAGTAATAAATTATAAACGTAACTTGTGTTTGTTTTCTCATTCACAGCAAGGTCCCCAGTCTTTCATGCAATGTTTGAGCACGAGATGACAGAAAGCAAACAGGTATTGTTATCTTGTGTTTTCATTCCAGTGGAATTCACTCACTACTGTGGCACCTCAATTAGACCTGGCTGGCTTTTTTCAAGGCAGGCTTTCTTTGTGTTTACATGGTTCATAGGTGGACCTGCCTTCATCAAATGGATAATACAGTAGAAACTATGGCAGCCAGAATGATAAAGGAAAGAAGAAAAATCAAAACATCAGAAATGAAATATCTAGATGAGTGCTCATTGTTTGTCCACCTCCGGACTTTAGTCTTGTTCCAGAACCTGAGTGTTGCATGCACATTCATTTTACAGTAAAATTAGAAGACCATTTTTCCTGACTTTCAGGCACATAGGGCTAGACCTATATTTTATAGACCAAACTGCACTTGGTGGGTGACAAACCGTACTTGGTGGGTGATGTGGTCAGCATCACGCCGGCCGCCTTTACTTTCCAGGGCTGCACCTGGCACCCACTCAAGGCTGGGTCGACCTGGGAGCCAAGGTCATTTTTGAAAAATACCAGCCCTCAACAGGAACTGAACCCACAACCTTCCAATCCGCAGCTGAGTGTTTCATTTACCGATCTGACTGTGTGCAGATTGTTGACTCCTCGCCCCCCCAGGCAGATGCACTGACTCTGAAGGAAGCTCCCAATTACTTGACTCTTCTGACCTGCTAGTTGGGTAGGCAGTGTATCTTTTCTTGTTTCCCCCACAATGGGGCCCCCGGACCACCTACGGGGAACCCAGTCTTTAAAAAAAAAAAATGATTTCCTGTCAACAAAACCTGGTACTACTAGAATTGACAGTGAAAGAGATCTGATTTGATTTGTGTGTGTGTGTGTGTCGTCTACAAGCCACTAGAGTATCTCCTTATTACCAAGAGTTCAGCAAATTGTATCTCCTATCATAAATACCCTTTTAACATCTCAGCCATGATGTAACAGAAACTGGGTTTGTGACTTTAAGAAACAAATGATCTAGTTTATTTATCAATGGAAATCCCCATGTGGGAAAAATACAACCCTCTGCCTGTGACAAGCATGTCATTAATGGTGACTAATTTGGGGATTTTTTTTCCGGAGGTCTGGGTGTATTTGCCCGAGAAGCGAGGAACCAGCAGTCTGCATACAGATAAGCCAGATCTGTCAAACAGATGTGCACACAACACTCAAATCCTAGAACAAGACCACAAAGTCCAGAAGCAGATAAACAACAAGAACTTTCTGCAGGAGTTTACAGTCAATGAATACTAAGAATAAGAAGTATGACTGTAATAAATGCCTATGTAAAAAGCTGGCTTTATTCTATCACCAGAACTAGTGTGGTTTCCTAAATAGTTACAAACATTGTTGTATCAATAGACCTTGGGCAGTTTTAACAGGACCACTGTGATGCAAACAACACAACTATTGTGATTGTATCCACAGAATCGGGTAGACATTGAGGACATTGACCATGAGGTGATGAGAGAGATGCTGAGGTTTGTCTACACAGGCAAGTCTCCAAGTTTGGACAAGATGGCAGATGACCTGTTGGCTGCAGCAGACAAGGTAGGCTACCTCATTATAAACAAATTGCCTGCCTGGAACTTACAGTCAGCTTGTCCTTTTAAATGAGGAACAGTAGTCTTCCAGTTTTTTGAGGAAAAGCAATCCTCTGTTTGTGAGAGGAACAGTAATATTCCCATTATTTGAGGAAAAGCAATCCTCTCTTTGTGTGAGGAACAGTAATCTTCCTATTATTTGAGGTAAACCAATCTTTCAATTATGTGAGCAACAGTAATCTTCCCATTATTTGAGGTAAACCAATCTTCCGATCATGAAAAGAACAGCAATCTTCTCATTATTTGAGGAAAAGCAGTCTTCCCATTATGTGAGGAACAGAAATCTTCCCATTATTTGAGGTAAACCAATCTTCCAATTTTCTAACGAACAATAATCTTCCTGTTATTTGAGGAAAAACAATCTTCCGATTATTTAAGGAACAGTAATCTTCCAATTATTTGAGGAAAAGCAATCTTCTGATTTTGCAAGGAACAGTAATCTTCCCATTATTTGAGGAACAGTATTCTTCCCATTATGTATAGAACAGTCATCTTCCCATTATGTGAGGAAAAGCAATCTTCTCATTATGTGAGGGACAGTCATCTTCCCATTATGTGAGGAACAGTAATCACTCCATTTTTTTTAGGAGCAATCTTACTGTTATGGGCAGTACAGTAGTCTTCTCATTATGAGAGGAACAGTATTTAGCCCAATAAGAACTTTTCTATTTTGTCATTTGAAGAAGCCGCGGTGGTGTAGCAGCTAGATGCTTTGCCTGCCAGCCTGAAGGTCTTGGAATCGAATCTGTACCAAGTCTGACCTTTTCAAACATGGCCTTGACTCCCAGGTCAATTCGGCCTAAAATATGTGCTGGGTGAGGCCCTGGAAAGTAAGTTCGGCCAGCGTGACATTGACTGAATCACCCACCAAAGGCCGATTGATCTGTAAAAATTACGTAGTCTATCATCATATGCCACTAGCGTAAAAAGGATCTCATATTGTTGTTGATTTTGTCGCAGTGTAAACTTAATGTATGTGTGTGTTTGTCCCCAGTACGCACTCGACCGGTTAAAGGTGATGTGTGAGGAAGCTCTGTGCTCCAACCTGACAATAGAGAATGTTTGTGATATCCTGGTACTTGCAGAATTACACAGTGCCAAACAGCTGAAGACACACTCCATTGATTTCATCAACAGGTATGTCCTGGCCTTTTGCTTGAGCTGTCGTTATTTTATGTGAGTGTGTCATTTATCAGGTGTGAGTCTTTTTGTTTCCTGACAGTACAGACAGTTCTTTTCCTGACTATAGTATTAGAAAATAACAATAAAAACAGCACATATTGCATGATTGACCAGTAGTTAAAGAATTGAGCTTCATTTGGGTAATTTTATTTTTGCAAGATGGCTGCTCCTTCGATTGGTATCGCTTTGAGCCAATACAAGTGTTGTTTTCAGTGAAAGTTTGTTAATTTGTGTTACAAGCGCACATTCAGCATTTTTATCACTATTAGTATTGATTATTCGCCTTTTGCCAGCGAATGTAGCGCAGAAGGCGATAATTCCTTGATAAGTAGAGATACACCGATGAATTTTATCGTCATATCGCAACTGAAAATAGTGACGATGATAATAGACTCGATGACGGAGGTGATGTTACATTTGAAGAAAGAAGTGGGCATGGCACACGAGACCAGAACATTTCTACAGCTGAAAATGCTGTCAATGGAGAAAGGCTGCCCAAAAAGAACTTGTTAAGCTTGACAATCATCCTCCATACAAACAACAACAAGGTGCCATGTCAGACACAGTTCTTCTTCTTCGATCCTTCTGTCAGAAAACTTATATCAGGAGGCCGGTAGCCTTTATGAAAGCTATCGTGCAATCCATATCCTCTTGTGTACCATACAGTTTTGTCTTCAGTGTGGTTGGAACATGCCAGATTACTGCTCTCTTGGCTGAACCATCTGTATTCAGACACAGTTGATATCTACTATTTACTGTAATGATGTTATGGACAAGACATGAAAAATGGAATTCCTGAGGGTAGAATAAAAACAAGCCAGTTTCTGCAGGAATACAACAAAAGTATGGTGGGTGTCGATCACTTCCGCCAGCTGGGTGCAAGCTACCCCTACCCACACATATCCTGTAAATGGTACCTGCTATTATATTATTTTTCTAAATAGTTGCATAATATATTTTTTTTCATGTGTAGCAACCATTCATAATGGTGCCTTGAAGGTTTCAAACCCTACGCTCATTTTGTTTTATAATGAATTTTATTAGAAAACAGGTTAGTTGCATATCCTTTACAGGACGTTGCAAACCAACCCCAACAGCCCCTGGCTGTTGTGTGATTTTTCTAGGCAAATTTACGTGCAGTAGTTTGCCATTGCTTTCTGAACGGTCGGCTTTCTTGATACCACTTTGAAACCAATGCAAGGCGCATGGCCTGCAGCTAGGATCGAACCTGGCATTACGAAGCGTTCGCATCGACTTAGCCACAGAGCCGACTATTAGAAATCAAGTCATTAAAAAAAAATCTCCAAACACCCTTGGTAATGTTAGACAGTAATGCTAACAGTAATGCTCCAGATTGCTGGTCAGCAAAGTGTAAAGCTGCACAGGTGCAAATATAACCAGTGGCATTTTCAGAACAGGCCACTACAGAAATATTAAAAAGTAACTAAATTTCAGATGTTTTGGATGTAGAAGCCATTGAGACTTCACCTCATTTATTTTACTAGAATTGTATCAAAGCAGTCAAATAATGGGGGAAAGGAGCTCAGAGTGAGAATGGATAGAATTGATGAGAAGTGCTGCAGAAGTATAGAATTTATATATATTGTATGTTTAATTTGCAACACTTGAAAAATATGTCCAGCTTATGGCACTTTGAAAATCAAGTTTGAGTGATCATTTTTCTCCCTACTGTGTTTTCCAGCCACGCCTCAGACATCATGGAGACCACTGGCTGGCAGTCGATGATTCAGGCACAACCCCATCTTATTGCTGAAGCTTTTCGGGCCCTAGCCAGTCAGCAGAGTCCTCCCCTTGGTCCACCACGCCAGAGACTCAAGACCTCCTGACTGCTTCCGGTTGATGAGACAAGTCTAGTTGATAGTTCTGGTTAGGAAATTATAACGCACACCATAGAGAACTACTGTTGAAAGATTAGGATGTGAATATGTCAGTGTAAAAGAAAACTGTTGAAAGTCACTTGTGGCTGGAAGATGATATTGCTGCAAAGAATTTATAAGTTTGTGCAACTTTACGCTATTAATTCAGAATTAACTCCCTGGGGGCTTAGCATCAGAGGCCCAAGGGGTAGTAAAAGAGATGTAAAATCAGCACATCTTGTGTTCCTTGGGCTTCTAGGTAGGAACCTGTAAATGTATGATGAGTTCTTTGGGACTCATAGAATTAACCAGCAGAATGCATGTTAATGTAACAATACTGCTTAATATCTATTATAGACTTTTGGGTTTTCTCTTATAGTCCACAGGGGAAATTCATACAGTAATAGACAGCGGTCGGTCTCTCTCTATCTAGATATAGATAAATTTAAGCTAAATATATGCCATTAGGACAGACTTTCAGTGAACTGAGTTGAATCAGTGGATAGCTAGAGAGAACTGTTCCACATAGACTGACTGTACTATTTACTAGGGCTGTACCGAATAGTGATTTTCACTATTCGGCTGAATACGAATAGTGGGACCAACTATTCGGCCGAATATGAATACGAATAGTGCATCATCATCATCAGGTGCCTTACCGACTGGCGTGGGTGATCATGCCTCCTTACAATCTGCGATCTCCTGCAGCATGTATAAGTTCGTGTGCTGACACACCTCCATGCCATGCAACAAGACTGTCAAGAATCTTCTATCGTTGTCTTCCTCTATCCCTCCTTCCACATATCTTTTCCAGTGGTCACCAAATGTTCAATTTTTCCTCTTCTCATAACATGGCTGAAAAATGACGACTGTCTCCTTCTGATGTCTGTGATTTGTTGTCTTCGGGCTCCTGCCTCTTCCAAAACCATCGTTTGCTCGGCCGTTCGTTCGATGTAATTTAAACGCACATTCATATTCCCGTTAGCAATATCTTCAAATTTGATTTGGACGAAGACACCCTGAAAGAACGAAAAATGCATGATCTCTCTCTCTCTCTCTCTCTCTCTCCCTCTCTCACACAGACACACACTCTCTCTCTCTCACACACACACTGCGGTTGGCATTTTATGCAGTTTGTACCACACAACCGGGTCGCAGTTTCCCCCACTCGACAGACTTAGGCAACAGCAACTTTTGTGTTGATGAGAGAGTTATTTCAGTCCATCACAGTGTATGCAGAAACAGGAGTAAGGTAACCACTATTCGTATTCGGCCCGACCGCAACTATTTGGCCGAATACCGAATAGTTACTATTCGGCCCCGAAGCGAATATTCGGTACAGCCCTAGTATTTACAGACTGAGAAAGACTGGCAGGCTGTATGGTTGGTTTCTAAGATTGTTGGTTTGACTATTTAGTCTGCTTGTGGTTTTGTTGAGATTTTGCTGTGATGAATGTTGATATTTTTGTTGTAAGCTCTATCACTGGAGAGTATCCATCCCTTGGCATGGGTGCATGCACAGCATGTGTGTGAGAGGAAGGCACTTGTGTGTTAGGTCTTTCTTGACAGAGATCATGTGTGTTAGGTCTTTCTTGACAGAGATCATGTGTGTTAGGTCTTTCTTGACAGAGATCATGTGTGTTTAAGGGGCTATTTTGTGTGAGTGTTATGACATCATGTATGTGTGTTAGGTCTTTCTTGACAGAGATCATGTGTGTTTAAGGGGCTATTTTGTGTGAGTGTTATGACATCATGTATGTGTGTTAGGTCTTTCTTGACAGAGATCATGTGTGTTTAAGGGGCTATTTTGGGTGAGTGTTATGACATCATGTATGTGTGTTAGGGGCTACTGTGTGTGAGGTCTCAAACATACATGTGTATGAGGTCTCAAACATACATGTGGGAGGTCTCTTGACATCATGCATGTGTGTGAGGTCTCTTGACATCATGCATGTGTGTGAGGTCTCTGACATGCATGTGTGTGAGGTCTCAGTCATCATGCATGTGTGTGAGGTCTCTGACATCATGCATGTGTGTGAGGTCTCAGACATCATGTATGTGTGTGAGGTCTCAGACATCATGCATGTGTGTGAGGTCTCAGACATCATGCATGTGTGTGAGGTCTCAGACATCATGTATGTGTGTGAGGTCTCAGACATCATGTATGTATGTGAGGTCTCTGACATCATGCATGTGTGTGAGGTCTCAGACATCATGTATGTGTGTGAGGTCTTAGACATCATGCATGTGTGTGAGGTCTCAGACATCATGTATGTGTGTGAGGTCTCAGACATCATGCATGTGTGTGAGGTCTCAGACATCATGCATGTGTGTGAGGTCTCAGACATCATGTATGTGTGTGAGGTCTCTGACATCATTCATATGAGTGAGGTCTCAGACATCATTCATGTGAATGAGGTCTCAGACATCATTCATGTGAGTGAGGTCTCAGACATCATGTATGTGTGGGAGGTCTCTTGACATCATTCATGTGTGTGAGGTCTCTGACATCATGTATGTGTGTGAGGTCTCTGACATCATGCATGTGTGTGAGGTCTCAGACATCATGCATGTGTGTGAGGTCTCAGACATCATTCATGTATGTGAGGTCTCAGACATCATGTATGTGTGTGAGGTCTCTGACATCATGTATGTGTGTGAGGTCTCAGACATCATGCATGTGTGTGAGGTCTCAGACATCATGTATGTGTGTGAGGTCTCAGACATCATGCATGTGTGTGAGGTCTCAGACATCATGTATGTGTGTGAGGTCTCAGACATCATGCATGTGTGTGAGGTATCTGACATGTATGTCTGTGAGGTCTTTGATGCAGTGTATATGTGTCAGGTCTCTGACACTGTGTATGTGTGTGGGGTCTTTGAGATAAATCATGAATGTGTGCGAGATATCTGACATCATGTTAATGTGTGAGGTCTCTGACATATGACACCATGTAGGTGTGAGGTCTCTTGACATGACACCATGTAGGAGGTGTGTGAGGTCTCTGACACCATGTGTGTGTGTGTGTGTGTGTGTTAGGTCTCTGACACCATGTGTGTGTAAGGTCTCTGACACCATGTGTGCGTGTGAGGTCTCTGACACCATGTATGTGTGTGTGAGGTCTCTGACACCATGTGTGTGTGTGAGGTCTCTGACACCATGTATGTGTGTGTGAGGTCTCTGACACCATGTGTGTGTGTGTGTGAGGTCTCTGACACCATGTATGTGTGTGTGAGGTCTCTGACACCATGTGTGTGTGTGTGTGTGTGTGTGAGGTCTCTGACACCATGTGTGTGTGTATGAGGTCTCTGACACCATCTATGTGTTTGTGAGGTTTCTGACACCATGTACGTGTGTGTGAGGTCTCTGACACCAAGTGTGTGTGTGTGTGAGGTCTCTGACACCATGTGTGTGTGTGTGTGAGGTCTCTGACACGATGTGTGTGTGTGTGTGTAAGGTCTCTGACACCATGTGTGTGTGTGTGTGAGGTCTCTGACACCATCTATGTGTATGTGTGTAAGGTCTCTGACACCATGTATGTGTGTGTGAGGTCTCTGACACCATACACCATGTGTGTGTCTGTGAGGTCTCTGACACCATACACCATGTGTGTGTCTGTGAGGTCTCTGACAAACTTGCTTATATTATTTGTATATAAGTTGGCTTATTTAATTTTTAAAAATGCACAACCCTGTTTAAAGAACAAGCAGTGTCTTATGGAGCACACCTGACACAACACCTCCCCCTTCCCCCCAGTGTCTATAAATAATGTTTCATATTTATTTTATGCCTTTTTTTGTCACTGAGGAAATAAAATGAATGAATTAAAGTCTGAGTGAGTACATGCAATCTTTCCTGCAGTCAGATTTCTACTTTTTAAATGCATGTATAAACTGTTTTGTTATAGCCAACAGATTATTAACCTCATTGCACATGGAATCATTCGGTCCGTCGGATCCCTTCCTCAGTAAGTTAGCAGCCAACAACACTAGTCAGGTTTCTTATTTTTCTTTGGCTTCTTACATCGTGCTTTTGTCTGGCCACACACATTTTTAACAAGCAGTTCTTGCAGGCTGATGATGATGATCACATTGGGCCGGGAGTGCAGAGTGTGGGTGCTACAGAGGTGGAAGTCGCAACAGTTGATATCTATACAGATGGTTCGGTGTTGAGAGGGAAAAGAAGTGCCTGAGGGTTCTTATCGACAGTGATAAATCTTTAGTGCAGGACAGCCTAGCATAGATATCACAATATCTGACATGAGAATGTGCAGCTTTTGGGTGGCTGGAGAACAAGATGCATACACATGTCATAACTGGAACAGATGCTGAAAAAAGTGAAGACAGGAATGCTTCACTGGGAAGGTCACAGGTAGTGAGCCTACTTTGGATCTTTTCTCCAGGCCATGCCGGTGTGGTGGGGAATGAACAGGCAGACCGACTGGCTTGATCTGCACCACTGGTTGGTGAATTGATACATAACAAGGCAGATTTGGTCAAAACCAGGCAGCGAAGCTCAGAAGAAAGGCAAGGCGGACATACAACCAGATTACGACCGGTACCATTAGTATTGGAACTCTGTGCTGGCTGCTGAAGATGAGGACAGATCATGCATGGGAGAATGCTAAGGTGTCAATCCTTATAACTCAACTCTTGCAGTCTGGTCACTATTGCAAATTCAGTCATTGGTTCTCTGCCTATCACCTGCTCATTTCCTGGCATGCCGGAACTCCTGTCTTACCAGAATCTTGCTTCACATTTAACACCCAAGCCCACGAGCGACTCACATGGTAAACCACACACACATATATATAAACTGTATAATTGAGTTATGAGTTAGATTACCTTCACAGCACTCCAGACACATCCATTGGTGCTCAGATTCCTCTCTCAAAATATTCATCAGCGTTGTGCGGTTAATAGTACCAGTCCTATGTTGGTTAACAATACTTCTTGTGCGTCCAGTGTGC